AACTGCACTCTGCTAATTTCTTTCTCTTTTAACTCCAAACCTGGCAGAGATAGGCCCATAGTTACTATTGAAGTTGAATAGGAAGTCATATACTGGCAATTTACTGTGACCTTGGAATTGACCTTTGACCTACCTTGCGATGAACTTAACTTTGATCGTACCATTTTTAGTAATATATATATTTTTTGCATATTTTGAAAATTCTTGTTGATTGCATTTTTACAGCTTGTCAAGCACAAGACTGGTGGCTGTGTTCCTTATTTTGTATATGTGGGGGTCTATATGAATGCGCTTGCTCCAGCTGGTGGTACAATATTCGGAGGCGGTATCGCCTCTCTGATCCTCTAGTTTGACATTTGCTAATGAAAAAAAATGATTACACACACATAAGCTGCATTGTAGTGAAAGGTAAATCAATCAAAATGTAAGCTTTATTCATGAAAGTTTAAACTTACTGACACTGTGTAAATTTCTTATAGTTTGGCAAGCTTTTGGTCTATTTGCTAGACCTTGATTACAACATTGTCCACTAGGTGTCACTGCAGACATTGGATAGGTGACCTTGCGTAATACTAGTGTTTAAAAACCTTTGTAATTTTTATCATTAATACACTGACAAGGACATTAATTAAAACTCATTCAAAGCTTGTATTTGATTTTATTGCCACTTAAATGTTAACATAAATTGTGTACTTAATTGATTAGAGTCCAAAGGAACAAACTCGTCATCAAAGGCCACACCCTTGCCCAGTGTGTCAGCCCCTGCCGTAGTGAAAGAAGACCCAGCTGTGGAAGGGGTCAAGGTCAAAGACAAGGTCAAGGACAGTGTTTCAAGTGGAGACAGCTTGGCATCTTGTAGAACCCATAGTGACCCTTCTTTAAATACCAAGGAAGAAGTAATTGATTTTAACTCAACATTTATATGTGCTTAAATCTTCTACCTGTATATTTTTTCTTAAACCATGTATTTCCATTATTTGTATGTTATATTGGTGTGCTGAATCACTTTTCTTGGTGTGCCAAATGTCTGCTGAATTATAATTAAAAATATGAGACTTTGTATGCCTATGAAAATTCCAGTCCTCCATCCCCTCAGACAACATGAGCCTGCCAGATATAGACCTGCCTCCACTCAACATCCGTACCACCAGAGACCGGGCTGACACAGAGACTGACATGGACCTGAGAAAGACATCTTTAGTCACTTATGCAGTGGTGAATATCAGCTCTTTAATATGTCTTTAAAATTTATCTTGACTTTTTCTTCAAATAATAATAAAAAGTCATATTTCTGTTTCTAATATGACACTTATATCAGGGAATGGGCTTACGTTGTTATGCTGAAGAAATAATCATTATTATATATGTAGGTTAAACGTAACTGGAGAAAAAGTAGTAAAAATTTTATACAGGCGCCTCATCTTTAAGAACACTGAAATTTTAGACCATTACCGTGTGTGATTATGTCTTTTTAAATAACCACAGGTAAATAGCAGGCATGAACTGAAATTATGAATTTTTTTTCTTACAGTCTTTGTGTAAAAGAAAAAAAAATGATGATAGACATTCTAAGCATACATTATTGATATGTGATCTTTATTGTAGGAGCCAAAGTGGAATGAAAACTTCACATTTGAAGTCCAGGACCATCATAAATACTTCAACATCTGTGTGTGGTGCAAGACCTCAGCCAAAGTGGACAAACAGTTCCGCGTCATCAAACCAGAGATGGACTTTGTTATAGGACACGTGAGTACTGCAATAGGATTATGACATGTTGATATCATAAACTTGTTCTGGTCTGTCAGGTAGACCTGGGCCTCATGTAATGCAGTGGTTCAGTATCATTCATTTTTTTTTTTTTTTGTGTGTGTGTTTCAGAGTGGAGCAATGTTTTATGTCAAAGTGTCATTGAATCATGTGTCATAAATATCTTGTGTGACACTAGTAGAAATATTTATACATATTAACTTGTATACATACAACACCACGTAGGTATGCAGTGTCAAAGGAATAAAAAATTTAAGATAACAAAAATAGTAACTGTAAGAAAAAGTGTGTGCCCTGATGTTACCAGTATTAATGTTGACCTTTCCCATTTAGGTCAGTATACCCCTGATGGAGATAGCTGACCAGTGCTTGGCCACCACCCAAGGTGACCGACAGCTGACATATACACTACTGCCATCCATGACTAGGGGAGGAGCAAGGTGAGTCATGTGACGGTTGACATGGTGACAGGAAGACTGACATTTGGCTTACACACTGCTGCCATCTGTCCAATGATGGTTCCAGAGGCATTTTCTGACAGTCTTCCAAATTATCTTTGTTGATCCATCCTCCATTTTTAACCGTCTGCTGACAGAAAATATTAGATCCCGACATAGAAACTCAAAAATTGTGACGGCCTCCCCCACACCTTATCTGTCACATGGGGAGGACCATTCTGTGTATTAGTCACATGAATAATGATTATTTTGTAGTAAGCAAAGTAAGGATCAAGGATGCCTTACTGCACTTGGAGATGAGCTACCTGTAGTTGCTGTTCATATTCCTTTGCTACATAATTTATATCCTAAATTTTGAAGCATAGGAATATGGCATCTAATTGTATCACAAATATTTTTTTATGTACAGACACAGATGTGTTTTTACCTGTTGTGCATGATTATAAAATTCAGTGTTGACTGACAGTGCTATTATAAGCATTATTTATTATTGCATCAAAATTAACAAAATGACCTTTTTTGCATCTTTATTTTCTGTTTTTTGTCTGTACATTTGACAGCTTTGCTGCCTTGTTTGTCTGTACATTTGACAGCTTTGCTGCCTTGTTTATATAACAAATTAAGACTTTCTCTTCTGTTTCTTCAAACAACTTTGAAGGGCATTTCTGGTATTTGTCCGACTGATAATTTAAACTTTCAGCCGATCTAAAACCAAACTGAGTCTCCAGCGAGGATTTGATGAATCTCTGACGTTTGGGGACATCACTCTCACATTTCGCCATGACCCTGGGCCCCTGACTCCACAGCAGAGGAAGAAAATCAGAGAGGAGATTAAAAAACAAATGGAGGACGAAAAAGAGAGGAAAACTCTGCAGATAGACTCTGTGAGACCCCAGACTGTATTGAATGAAGAGATTAGAAAGTAAGTATTGTTGAGCCTACCTGTTTTTATTTTTCTGCATATATGGTGTTTGTGTCATAGATTGTTGATGTGTGATTGGACTCTTGTATGTGAAAATTATGTTTTTATGAATAACCTTATTTGAACTTTGGAGTGGTGATTCCATTCAAATGAACCAAGTTTAAGTTAATCATTGTTAATCCAGTATTTTTTAAGAAACTTAGACATCTAACAAGTGGTTTTGTATGTATGTATAGCAAATAAAAAATAACAAAAAAATAAAAATTTAAGAAATAAAATTGACCCTGTTCAATTTCACAGGAAATTTTCTGATTAAATTTGTTAATTGAAGAACATTAAATGACACTCCTTTTTTTAAGCGGTATTTTAATAACTTGTTCTTTTAAATAAAATGTCAAATCTGTTTGGGCATTAAAATGTAATATTGATGGTACAGTTTAAACCTACAGATGTGAGTTGTCTTCATGTTTTGTTGTAGGTCCTTAGAGGGAGGTCATGACTTTGTAGAAACTAACTTCCATTCTGTTACTTACTGTAACTTTTGTGGAAAGAAGGTAATAGGAGAAAAGTTAGCCTGTGTTTTAAACCTAATTGTTGTGTGAAGGAATCTGATTATATCACCAGTTTAATATTAATTGTGTTCCGTCCAAATATTATATATCAGTTGTTTTACATTGTTTGTTGATCTAGTGTTTTCTCATTAGTAATGTCTAACAGGGTAACTATGGTTTGTGAAACTCACTAACAGTGTTAATTAAACAAGCATGAGAGTGTTAATAGCATTTTGGTCAAAGCCAGATCTTTTACCAGGATCTTTGTTGCATAGGGATATGACAAGATAGTTCCTGGACATTTTGCACAAAAGTCCTGTGGTTAGAAAAAAGAAAGAAAATATTTAAATTTCTCATTTCTAATGTGTATTGTCTGTAATATGATAGTCTGAACTATTCAATATTTACAGACCAAGTTGAAAGCCTATGTACAGGAACCCTCAAAGAATGTTTGTGTAGAAAATGCAAAGTTAAGCCTATGATATGTTGCACAGTATGTTTTCTGTTCCCCAGATCTGGTTAAAGGCCGCCTACCAGTGTTTAATGTGTACCATGATCTGCCATAAGAAATGTATTCAACGTTGCCAGTCCACTATTACTTGTCCAAGGTAAGATTTCTTTAAAACATCACTTATTTGATTCAGTGTTACATGTACATAGCTTAAATGCACCATGAGCTACTGACAAATATTGCTTTTTTAAACAAAATTGTTCATCATTTATTATGGCCACCATTTTTACTGGAACGCCCATGATTATTAGAATTATTACAATTTGCTACTGGCTTATTTTTTCATTGAATTTCAGAAACGGGAAGCCGCCAGATGTGCCAAAGCCAGTACAGGAGGAGAAGACAGAATCCAACTTTCATCGAAAGAAAGAACACGTCAAAGAAGCAATACTCACTCGACTGCGTAAGAAAACAGGGTCATCACCACTGATCACTGGCAGCGAGGAGCTCCTAAGAGCATCAGGTTAGATGAAAGATATTTTACGGCTTAAATCTTTGTTAGTCTACGACAATTTAGTTGTCATCCAAGATGGCTATTTATGGACATTTCGCAGCTTTCTGTTATGACAAAAGGAATGACAATATGATATTTGTTTATATTCTACAGAATTTTGCCTGGATATTAGATAGAAAAAATTATTGAATTTTGCTTGATTCTGATGTGAGATAAAGCAAAAAAGTATTTTCTAAGTGATTTTTTCCCATTATTACATCACACAAAATGTATACCTTGCTGCATTTTAGGAGAAGTAAAGATGGACCTACCAGAGAGTACAATGGGGAGTGGAGTGAAGGATGATAACTTTGTCCAAACTAAAGCTAAAAAATCCCAAAGACGAAGACTGTCCAACAGTGAATCTGCAGAAACTAAGGTTAGAGAGATAAGCAAGTTATAAATTTGAAAGAAAAGTAAAATACTGGACATTGTTATAGTGATGAAGAGATTTGAGTATATCTATAGATTATTGTTTAAAACAGATGCTTAACTTTTTAAAACTGAAGAGGTTTTACCACTGCCAAGGGGGTTACATATATATTTTTGTCCTTGTTGATTTGTTATTTAAACACCTAACTTGCAAGTTTTGATAAATTTTTTAGGATAGGTCATCAGTGGGTGAACTTAGAACCAATTAGACATTGGTGATCCATTATTAATACTTAGTCTAATGAGAATTAAAATGTTTTGGCAAGAGGTCTCTGATGGCTTTTCTTACTAGTTATATTCAGCATTTTCTTTCTTCATAGTTCTTGAAATAATGATTAACTTTTTAAGAATCAGTCATTGGTGTGATAATATTCTGATATTTCTAGGAATTTGACTCCTCAGAGACCAACAGTTCAGACTCGGAGGAGGAGTTGAACCTGATCCAGTTCCTGCAGAAGCACCAGAAGACGCACCAACATGAGGAGCAGGTGGTCTCCAAGGCCAAGGAGATGGGGAGAGATCTGCATGCAGACCTGACACCTATTGACAGGAGGGATAAACTAGATGCCATGGTAACTAGCCCTGGAAGTCTCTTGCTTTATATGATAAATGATGTACTATTTTTATATTTAGATATATGTATATCTACATATATTTAGAAAGATGACACAGCCAAGCAGGCCTGTAAGTCATAGAATTGTTCTTATAATCATAATCTACTGGCATTCTGCAAAACCCAATTATCTCTTTAAACAAATTTGAAACAACATTTGCTTTGACCTTATTAATATAATTTCCTGTTATTGATAACAGATAATTAGGCCTGATTTAAGCAAAATGAAGTCTAAAACTCTCCTTCCACTGTTATCAAATGTAATATTGGGAACAGTATTCTTAAAGATTGCACTCGTTTTTTCAGATCACAAAATTCCAGCAAGAGATAGACCTGGAGTCGGAATTTCGTGCCGACCTGCTGAAGGAAGAGAAGGAGGCAGTGCACCCAGATCAGAAAGTCCAACTGAAGGCCAAAGTGAAACACTCTGAGGAGAAGATCCAAGCCCTGGGCTATCTCATGCTCCATTACTGTGCAGGCCTGCAACATTGTCTGGATCAGATGGAGGAAGAGAAGCAGAAGAGAAAGATGACCTCTGACGCTGCTAAGGTGATCTCTGACGCTGCTAAGATGACCTCTGACCCTGCTAATGCTACAGAGGAGAAGCAGAGAAAGGAACAGGGAGAAGAGCTCTGACTGTTTACTTCAGGGGTTGTAACAGAAGGAACCGAGA